TCGCCAAGAGGTCTTAAAGGGTTCGATCAGCAACTACTGGACTCTCAAGGAAAAACAAGATAACTCATGGTTAGCTAATAAGCTAATTCGAATGAGAGTCCCAGTTTTTGATTGGATAAAGCTCAGAGTGGAGAATGGTACCTCTTGCCGGTTCTGAACTGACAATTGGTCACCATTTGGTAGCATGTCCTCCTTCCTAGCAAACAACAACAATTCCAGAATGGGTATCCCACTACTCTCGTCACTGAGTGACCTTTACTTGAATGGAAGATGGAATCTACCGCCTGCAAGATCAGATAACCAAGTTTCACTACAAGCTCATCTCACAACTATTAGCCTTTCGGATCACGATGATTACTATAAATGGGAGATTGATTGAAGGATTGAAAGTAGGTTCAACACGGGCATGGTGTACAGTAAGCTAGTAAATCAACTACCTTTGGTGAGCTGGTCCGATGCGATCTGGATCAAAGGAGGGATTCCGAGACAGAGTTTCCTATGTTGGCTTTTTGTTCTGAATCGATGTCCTACGAAGGACAGAATTCTTGGATGGGGCCTCCAAACAGATCCAAACTGCGTGCTGTGTACAAATCAATTGGAGAGTAGGGATCACCTTTTCTTTTCCTGCAGATTTACTTGGTCAATTTGGAGCCGAGTGGCGGCTAGATCACAAACTCAAGCTCATACGGATTGGGCTTCGACTATCCAACCATGCAAACACTAAGAGGACCAAAAGAGAATACAAGACTCTCCCTCCTTGCTTGGCAGACAACAATTTACAATATTTGGGCAGAACGGAACAGTCGACATCACCGGCAAACATTCCGATCCTCGGATTCGATATTGCAGATTATTGATTCAACAATCAGGACCAAGATCTCTGGCTTCAGAGAAACAAACCCAAAACTTCGTATCCTCATGATGCAGAGATGGTTGGGGAGTTGAGCTGACAGTGGAACAACACAACTTCCTCTTCTTCGAATCAAGCCGGAGATTGAAAGACACATCGCCTACCATTGACAAACTTGTAATCGGCTCAAAATTGGGTTTCTAATTATGTTCTATTTTCTGGGCCTCTCTGAGCGCTTACTGGACTTCCAAACCAACACTAGTCCTTCATGGACTTGTACGTTTTTCAGTTTTTATGCATTAAATAGAAAGCCCTTGTTTCAAAAAAAAAAAAGATACTCACAGATAAATGGCTATTTAGAAATCTAACTATGATACTATTGCAACCACTGTTCTAATTTCAATAAACCGAGAATAACCTTGAATTTGAATTTCAAACTGAGTAGCGTGTGTATACACGAGTGAGACATACGTATTGGACAGGCTGGTGTCAATAAATATATATATTTATTTTTAGAGTAAGTAAATTACACGCTAGTAGTGAAAAATAAATAAATTTGGGTTTTCTTTCCCAAAAATATCTGGCTTTGGGGATTCTACAGTTCTTTCGCTGGGAAACTCAACAATAATCAATGAACTTTTGAAGATCTTCTGCATGAGCATGCAATACATTATTTTTACTCTTAAGTGTATTAAATCTACTTATGTGTTACATGTACTGAATATTTATTAACCCTTTAAAAAAAATAATTAGACAGGCAACAAAAGTTTTAGATAGATAGCTTACTTTGTTGTTTATTCTTTGTGGTGCAAAAAAGGTTGCAAGCTTCTCAAATCTGAAGTGTTACCGGATGAAGCATACAAATGTGTTGTGGTGGCTTTTGAAGAACACGGCGAACCTCTTTAACTCTGTTTGACTATTTTATAAACAAACATTGCTTTGGTTTTGGTAAGCTTCCCTTTTCTAGTGAAAGCTTTTACTCTATTTGATTAATATTTGTTGTAATAGATATCTATTAGTTATTATTTTGTCTCTTAACATTTCATCAAGTATTCGATTTACAAATTAGATCACAAATGAACTTGCATTATGAGTTACAACCAGCTAAAATCAAATCGGTTATGATAAATATGAGATAAACCAGTTAAAGATTATAACTATCAGTTTCTTACTAATTTTACCAACTAACATTATTATTAACGGAACTAACATTATTATTAACCGAGTAAGACATATTTTATCAGGCTATACTGTCATCATTTATCGGTTAAC